TCAATGGCACCTGACAACAATGAGAGGCAAGCAATGGAAAAGCAGATTGATGCTTATTGAGGTCCAAAAGCATGTACAGTCCAGTGCCAGGAGGTTTACACATATGTATTCTCCTATAATTCTCACAACAAACTTTGGAGGTAGGAATTACCCTCCATATCCTTTCACCAAGTTGGAGTCAACTCTGACTCACGGCAACCACGTGTGTGTCAGAGTAGAACTGTATTAAATAGGGTTTTCAATGGCTGAATTTATGGAAGTAGATTGCCAGGTCTTTCTTCTGAGGTGCCTCTTAGTGGACTTGAATCTCCAACCCTTCGGTTAGCAGTCCAGTGCATTAACCATTTGCACTACCCAGTGGCAGTTAATGTGCTTGGCTACTAACTGAAAGGTTGGAGATTCAATTCTACCCAGAGGCACCTCAGAAGAAAGACCTTGCAATCTACTGAAAAATCAGCCATTGAAAACCCTATGGAACATAGATTTTTTTAATTGTATGTTAGATGAAAGTTTATAGAGAAAATTGGTTTGTCATTAAACAATTAATACATATACTGTTTTGAGACATTGATTGCCAACCTCTTAACTTGTCAACACTCTCCCCTTCTTGATCTTGGGTTCCCCATTTCCATTCGTCCAACTTTCTTGTCCCCTCCTGCCTTCTCATCCTTGCCCTGGTCTGTTGTGCCCAGTCAGTCTCCTATACATGGTTGAGATATATGTATTATTGTTTGTTTTGTGGGACTGTCTAATCTTTGGCTGAAGGGTGAACCTCAGGAGTGACTTCAGTACGGAGTTAAAGGGTGTCCAGGGGCCATACTCTCGGGGTTTCTCCAGACTCTGTCACACCAGTAAATCTTGTCTTTTTTTGTGAGTTAGAATTTGGTTCTACATTTTTCTCCATCTCTGTCTGGGACCTTCTATTGCGATCCCTGTCAGAGCAGTCGGTGGTGGTAGTCAGGCACCATCTAGTTGTGAAGCACAGTTTTTACTCAGACACACATGGGGTTGCCATAAGTTGGAGCAGAGGCATAACTAAAGTATGGCAGGTGGGGCATGCACCTTGATTGCGGAGCAAGGAGGGGAGCTAATGAGCAGTTTCTGTTGGCCACCCCAGTTTCCATCACCAGCTATGAAAGATCATTCAGCAATTTAAAACTAATTGCAGTAGGCACTATTTTCTGTAGATAGGTCCCTGAGTTGGAGTCAACTCCAGAGCAACTGGTTTCCCTCCACCCATCTCTTTATTGAGGAGAAATCAGAAGTTAAAGAACCTGCCGAGGTCATGCAGGTTTAAGTGCCAGAGGTATTATTTGGACCATGGATGCTGAAATCCATGTTTATCCTGTTGAACCAATTAACTTTTCCAATAATCACAGAGTGTTATATATGGTCTAATGATCGAATGGTTCCTTCTCCCGATCTCATTTATCCTTTATATTTGTATAAAGTTGTATTATTTATAAGGTACTGTCATATTAATCGTATTATTTTATCCTAACAACAGCCCTATGAAGTCTGTAAAGCTTGTATTCTGTACCCATAATAAACATCAAGAAAAAGGTTTAGAAAAGTTAAGTAACTTGCCCAACGTCAGTCAGGGCTGACTCCAAAGCAAATGCTTTATCTTTCACATTTTCTCTTTTCTGGACACAGGAACCAGCAGAGTTTATTTTCTTGGCAGCTGAGCATAATAGATTCTAGCCCAGGCAACTGTATGTGTACTTGCCACAAGGCTTCCCTGACTTGTAATGAACTCAAACAAAGCAGTTACCCACAGATTATAACGCCATTGTGGTCCCATGACAAATGACAAGGAGGTTTCAGTAATGAAATCTTATTACTGCAAGTAGTAAGACCACATTGAGGTCTACCACAACCATATTTACCACTGCGGGGAAACACAAAACGAAGCATCTGGGTTAGGGTCTCCACTAATGTCAGCAGCATGCTAGCAGGATTAAGAAGATCTCTTTGTAACAGCGATTGCAATGCCAAATGTGTGGTGCCTAAGATAAGGACCAAATATTTATTCTGGCAGAGATTAAATCTTTTCTTTTCCTGAATCTATTATGGATCTTGCAGAAAATCTGCCCAAGAATATACCTGACTGATCAGACAACTCACTGAACTAGAACTGTACTTTGCCACTACTGTAGCTGAAAAGCTGTAGAGGGTTGGTTTAAAGGTCTCCTCTGTCCCCCCAAACTGTTCTCCCTTCATGATTAATTAGTGACTCAGAAATGAATTGAATCACAGGCAGTCTTTTCCAGGCCTCCAGGAGTTATATGGTGGTTTCTCATTGAAGAACCAAGGGGCAGTAAACAACCGACAACTGTGGGTGGGCAGAGGCGTAACGGTGTCTGCAGTCATGGTTTCTGAACTCTTCCAGTCCTTTCATTCTGCTAAACAGGTAATGACTCAGGTTATCATAGCCTTGCTTATTTAGCCATGAGGGTGATTGGGTACAAATACACAAACACACACACATATATAATCTTTGGAAATGAGTGCCAACTCTTTCAGTAAGAGTCATGCCATTTCTGAATTCCCATAGAATCAAGGAGAAAGAATAAAATGAATCAGAATAATGTTAATTGTGGGCATGAAAGATGCAAAAAGAACCTGTTACCAGGTTCATTTATCCATGCATCCTATTTTAATGCTAGGTATTTTGTTTAGTGCTAGAGATTTAGAGATGAAAAAAACCAAACCAAGCCAAACCAAACCAAACTGAGAATAGAGAGGTCACAAGAAATGGATTTAAGAAAGCATGAGTTTGTTTAGTCACCATTTAGGAAGGTGCCAGACTCACTTTACCAGAGAACAGAATGTGGAAATGGCAGACATAATTTTACATCACACACTATCAGGGCACACAGGAAACTACATCTGCCTTGTATCTCAACATTCCTGGACGGTGAAACTCCCTTCTAAGATCAAGACACTGAGTCTGGGTCTTTTCTTTTAGCGAGCCCAAGATGCACTCACATACTAAAGGATAATTGTCAAGTTGAGGAAAACCTGCCTTATGGGAAAATAAGTGCACCAAACTGTATGAAAACCAGTGCCTAAAACCTCACCGAAAATCTTAATTTGTTTGATGTTAATCACAGATAGTTACATAGATAGACAGACAGACAGATAGATAGCTGCCATCCAGTAGGCTCCAACTATGGTGATGTTAAATACAACAGAACAAACTCAGTCCTGTGTCATTCTCAGGATCACTGGCATATTCAAGTTCATCCTTGCAGCTATTGTGCCAATCCAGCTCATTGAAGGTCTCCCTTGCCCTTGCTGGCCCTCTACTTCACCAAAAATGATGTCTTCCATCAGTGATCAATCCCTCCTGAGAATGCATCCAAAGCAAGTGACCTGAACAATGGTCTGTTATGATCAGTAAAAATTTAATTGGATAATTTTGGGAAGTGCATTTCCAGGCCTTTCTTCCTAGTCTGTCTTAGTCTGAAAGATCTACTGAAACCTGTCCACAATGGGTGACTCTGCTGGTACTTGAAATACTGGTGGCATATCTTTCAGTATTACAGTAACACACAAGCTACCACAGTATAGGTGGTGGGACAGATAAGTGGTAGGACTTTAAATCATATTAGGTGCTTAATAAATGTCTGTATATTGAATGAAAAAAAAGAATGAATGAATAAAATAAATGACTGAATCTGAGATTCAGAAAAATCTTTCCTAGATCTTAGTTTATTTAGATTCTTCACTTCTTCTTTCTCTTCCTCTTCATTGTTCTTCTTGTCTTCTCCTTCTTGAATACAGAAATGGATAAAAGAGGCTATATAAACATATACTGGGACTCAGTCTTATAGAATATCAGAATTACAACTAAATTTTATTATACTTGAATTCCCACCCTATTGTTTAGTCAATAAGTCAGAAAATTAGAGAGATTCAGGAAGATGTCTCTTGTCTCTACCTGCCCGTTCCTCCCAATACCCTGCAGTGCAGTGATGCCTTTCTAAGAGGTTGAGAGAGGCTGATTATATCTGATCAGTAATATTAATTTCATTTTATGTCTCACTGTGAATGTTAATTTTGGGTCTTAATGGTAACAAATTATTAGGGAAGGAGAGCAGTAAGAGTTTTCATAGGATTACTATTTGTGCTTCAGTGCTTCCTGGTGATTCCCAGGAGGTGGATGCTATCATTACCTTCACCTTTACCACCACTGTCACCATCATCATAATCATCATCTTCACTGACATAGCTACTCTTCTGGAATTAACTGTGTTTCCCCTTCCCACAAATCTTTGGAAGCCACAGAGGTTCTCTTCTGCTGTGTGACACAAATCTACAGCAGTGAATATTGCATCCCTCTTTAGATTAGTCTAAGAAGTAAGTATGGGAAGAGTAACAGACATCTGACTCTGGAAACCCCAGCTTTATCTCAGTGACTTCCACTCAAGATGCCTCTTCTGTGTGGTTCGTACCTGCAGAAAGTATCATCAGGAGTTGCTCTAGAATGCTAGTTACTCTGCCGTTAGCTCCTAATCATCTATAACCATAAGCTCATATCTGTAACTCCCCTTGGCCTTGACTGGTCCAAAATGTGTGGGCGTGCTCACATTTCCTCTTTCATCCTAAATCGTACTTGGGAAGAGATCTAGGGTCCAGTGTCTTATAAGCCTCTGCTAGAAAACAGTCGTAATTCTTCTCACAGAAAATAACTTCTCAGTGTCACTGTCTAGCAGTTAGGTAGTTCTGTGGTCCCAGCCTTGATATCTGTTGAGGGCAATCGAATGATGTAACCTGTGTAATACAGCCTGTGAGAGCAATTTGGGTAGCTTTGTGCCATTGGTTTTTATGTGCAAGATAAAAGCCCTTGGAGAAATGTAGGACACTCTTATTAACTTCATGCCGACAGCTCCCTCTGGGCACCTAGAGGTTTGTTTCTTGTTGGAGTATCAGCTTTAAAGGGAGAAAACCTTGTTGTTGGTGCTAACCATGCTTTCTGTGTTTCTTTATTATAGGAACAGGGGAAAATTGGAGTTGTCTTCAATATTGGCACAGTTGACATCTCCATCAAAGAAGACAGAACACCAGTAAATGACGGTAAATACCACGTGGTGCGCTTCACCAGGAATGGCGGCAATGCTACACTTCAGGTGGACAACTGGCCAGTGAATGAGCATTATCCCACAGGTACATGTTTTACTCTCAATGACCGTACTCTCATTCACTCTTCCATTCACTTTTAAATGGAAATTTTTCTCATGAATGTCACCAAGTCATAAAACATTGAATATTAAGCACACATTCATGGTTTTTTTATGTGAGAGGTTATTTCTTTAGGACACAATCCAGTGTAGGGAGCTTCTGGAGACTTACTAACTATGCATGGACACTTTTTATCAACTTGACTAATACTGCCTGACTGGTTCATACCAAAGGCAGGGACTGTGGGTTTTCTAGGGCACTGTGGAATGATGAGAAATTGAGGGTAGGGACACTTTCTCTATCGTGAGCTATTGTGAATAATCACGAGAAAATCAATTTGGGATCTGGACTTCATGGTGCCATTTAGTGGGGTATGGTTGAAGGCACAATTGGCCAGAGAAGACAGAGAGACTGTGAAAGGAGGTTCACTAAACCTGAACTGATGAGCACCAAGTCACACTAACGAGAGAAAAACGAAGGGTGGAATTTCACTCATTTTGTTGACTTTTTCCATGTTTTTCTCTCACTTACGTTAAGCCTGAATTGGTGTTCAGATATGAGTCCTAGTAGGTGTTTTAATAGCAAGCATCCTGGCATGGGAAGGAGAGGGGTTAATAATCTGTTTCAATTTTACAGTCAAGGAACATTCACCAGCAAACTCCGAGAGCCAGATGGTCAATCAAGGGCAATGGGAGAAAGGTTGACTTCTTTAAAAGAGATCACTTAAATATGCCCTTAGCTTTCCCTCTTATCTCTCACTTCTCCCAGGAAAGGAGTCCTGGACCCTAATAATAAGAGTGCCAGGAATGGAAGAGGAAACATTTTAGCCAAGATCTTTCTCCACTGTTGCATTGCCACCCAATGGATGCAAAAAATCGAACTTTTCACTCATCTGAGCAGGATGCCGCATCTAATTCCCTGTCCCCTACACTCCTAACTCCCCACAATTATCCCACCTTTTTCCTCCCAGTTTCTTTACAGTGAGATAGGTACAGTGATGGGGAAGCCTATTTCCAGAAGTTTAAGAACCATTTAGCTATTATACTTGAGAGAAATGCACCAAGTAAATTACCTATTTGTGGCCCAAGATTGTTGAATGACTTGAAGGCTCTGATTGTGATTTCATGCTTAACTCAGCATTAATATTCTTTAAAAGGCAAGCAAAAGCACCTGTGATGCTGGGTTTTTCCCTAACAGCTGGAGTCTCCCAATCCCTGGTTTAAGAATTGCTAGGTATCTACAAACAGCATTCAAGGCCCCCAAGGTAATGAAGCAAAAGCTCCACCAACTCATTCATCTAACCATCTCAGTTTCCAGATTGCACAGCCATTGCTCTGGCTCTTTTATCAAACTCTTAACACTTCTTAGATTAAGGCACACAAACGTCCTTATGAAGCTACATTTGAGCCTTTGAAAAGAGCCAGAGGTGTCAACAGCAACTATGAATTCTTATCCTCATCCAAATTCAGCAGACGCTAATAGACCTAATTTTTAAATGCTTCGTATGTAAACCCTGGAGGGGGTAGGGATCAAAATAGCGCAAGATACTAGAAGCCGTTCATTTACTCATAGGAAAAATCAATCTCTCTCCATGAATATTTTCACTGGCCCTGCTAGTGTTGTGTTTCTATTAGGAATTTCGAAGATCCTGCCTGAGCCAATTTAGAATCCATGAGTTTACTGCCAGCATTGAGACAACTCTTTGCTGGTCGCTTTAAAGCCACGGATATGTAAGAAAACCAATGACCCTTGCTGTGTGTGTATTTCTTTGTGTCTTTAGTTCCAAATTATGGCTTGTTTTCTATGTGTTTTCAAAACAGACGAAGCCTTTCTTTAATAGCATTGCTGCCCCCGAAAACTATTATTATCACTGGTAACTGTTATTTGGTAATAATACAGGTTATTACTACAGACCATGATACTGTACAGCAGTTATAAGTATGGGCTTTGGAGTCAACTGACTGGGATTGGAATCCTGGTTTCATTAGCTGGATTAAGACCTTGAAATGCCCTAAGCACTGAAATACTTGGTGCCTTTCCCCACATATGTTCAAAATATAACAACACTAAACCATAAAATATGTGCAAGAATTTCTAATAGTTCTGATTTTTCTCCTCTGATGATAACTTCAAGGCTATAAAAATACATCAAATTCTTCACTCACAAATTCTCTCTGCTTTGCTGGTTCTCTAAGTAAGTGCTTACTCTTCCTATTGGGTGATCCAGTTTCAAACTTCAGGCAAGTTATTTAACCTCCCTGAACCTCTGTTTCCTCCTCTGTAAACCAGGGTAATGGTAAGACTTACTTTACAGGGTTAATGTGAAGATGAAGTGAATAGACTGCATGTAAAATGCTCAGCATACTGCCAGGCCAATCAAGTCAATACTCAATGCGTGTTAGCTATGATGATTGCCAAACATTAGGATAGCATTCTTAATTGTGACATATCCACTTTTACAATTACTTCATTTTGAGTTCTGTAAGTAGCCTGTAAGTTGAGTAGAGTGGATAGTTTTATTCTCCTTTTCAAATTGGAAAAAAAAAAAAAAAAGACCAACGGAGATTTTCTGTCTTTTCTAAGGTCATACAATACATGAAGGGCAGAGTGAGGACCAGATTCTTCTGTTCCCTGCTGGGTGCAGTTTCCACTAATTCTCCCCAAACAAACTGGGGGATGTTTTGAAAAATGCCTAGATAGAAATGAACATCTTTCTTTTTGTGTCATCTTAAATTAATTCCTTCCTGTAAAGAAGTGTCATGTTTTAAAGGTGAATTCCAATTACCACCCAAAATTGATTGTTGTGAGATGTGAAGTCAAAAATCCTCTTTTAAAAAAAGAAAAGTTATTACAAATGAGTACAAGCTGTCCTCCTCACCCCAATGGTGAGGTGCTTAAATGGGCAATTGAAAGCATATTGAGTATTAAAAGAAGGCACCATCTTTCTTTATTGGAAAGTGGTATACTATACTAGATGGACTTTAACATTTGAGTTTTGCATTCCAAGACTTCCCAGGACTCAGCTTTGTGTCCTTGGATACTTTCTCTCCCACCTGCTTCCCTGTACTATGGAAACGATCCATGCATCTAAATTTAAAGCATCATTAGAGCAATTTGCCAATGTTTATTTTAAACCATAAATATCAAAATACCCCCCGTATCTGGGTGTCAAAGAACAAAGCGACCTGGCCGGGCAGTCTTGACAGTTTCTGCAAAAGTGATGTATTCTCGTTTTTCCAAGCTAGTCTGTTTTATTGCTAATGCTAAGTATAGAAGCAATCAAGAGGAATTCTGTCATGTTATTTGTCTATTGCTAATGTTTAAATGGTAAAGAAATATAGATTAGCTTCTACAGAATCTTCCCCTTAAATTTTCTCATTCTGAGGACATGCCCTCAGGAAATTGGTTCTGCTCGCCAAGACACTGTGCACCAGGACAAATGAGTTAACTCCAGGATCTTCTCATGGGCATTTATAGGATTTTGTGTGGCTTTACGGGAACATCCCACCATGAAATATTTAGAAACCAATTGGGCACAGGGTGTGTAGCATTGGATCTTCGTGAATCAAGAAGGATCCAAAATGAAAATAGTTCCATAGCAATTGGAATCTTACACTACTTAATTCTTGGAGATAGAACTCAAAAGCAACTTCTTCCTTTGAACCTGAAAATAGAAAGTCTGAGGAACAGGAGAGGGAAATAAAAGAAGAGTCAGCCCAGAGCTATCATCCAGGCAGTGACAAATGTTCTTTATAAAGCCTCTGCTTGCTGCCTCAACACAATGCAGTGGTGGCGACAAGGGAGGGGAGGTGAAAGGTGAATTGAACATGAGACATTACTTTTAGCCCACAGCTCCAGGCCCCCTGGGATGCTGAGCTGACTGGAATTGTTAGAGATCTGCTTCTGCTGTGGGTGGGTGGCTGGTTGTATTGCCAGGGCTGTTAGAACCCTGAACATGGCGCAGGAAGGGGCTTTTCAGGTCAGAGCCTGGCCTTTCTTGGAAATGAAGACTGATAAGCAACTCTCTTGTGCAGGACTCCTCATCTTCCCACCCCGGATGGTGCTGAGGAGAGCAGGGTCTTATTTTATTTTATTTTTTTGATATTGAATACCAAGTCAGTCGATGTTCTCTTAGTTGGAAAGCTCTTCCTCACAGTCAATACAATGACCACTGATGATGACTGATGCTTAAATCTTGTTCAACCACCCAACTCACAACATAAAAAGGATCTAGAAGTGACTACCCTGCAAGTACACTAAATTAGAAAACCGTTATTTTATATTTCAGTGTGTCAAATTCTACAGAGACTCATCTTCATAGAATGTTTATAAAATGTAAAAACATTGCTTCAGGGCTTATTGATGCTCGAAGTGCCTCCATAGACATTACTACAATTGAGCTTCTCTCCACTTATCACAAGACTGCACTTGGTATTATTATCACCACTATTCCCATTTTAAAGTTACATTATTGAGGCTTTGAGAGGCTCTATAACTTAGCTAGAATCACACAGCTTATGTGGCAGAGCAAGATTTCTATTCTGAATCTCAGATTGCACTTCTTCAAACTTTCTACTCATTTTCCTATTTCCCAGAGTCATGATTTTACTGAAACTGGTAGTAATTTTATTTTATTCTGTAAAAAGGAGTCTCAGATAGAAGATCCTGACTGGACTTGTTCAGTTAGCAGTGTTTCTCAACCTTGGCACTAGTGACATTTTGGGCTGGATAATTCTTTACTGTGTTTGTAGAGGGGGCAGGGTTGCATGTATTGTAGGATGTTTAGCAGCCTCTCTGGCCTCTGTGGACTAGATGCCAGTAGCCTGTCTCTCTCTACGCATTGCCAAATGTCCTTTTGGGGGTAGGGGACAGAATAGCTATCTGTGGAGAAACACTGAGTTAAAGAAAGTCTCCAACATATTCAAATTATCGTAGCCCTTTCCTAGTTTAGACAGTATTCATGGGGCTAAGAGATGGTTTTCTGT